CCCCAAAACCCCAAAACCCCATCGTCTCATAACTTGCATGATTTTGAATACTAAATAATTGATGAAATTAAGATTAAAATATTTTGTAATCATTTTGTAGAATGCCATAAATTTCAATAATTATAATAAAGATTGTCCTAGTAGTTATACTTGTTCTAGAGATTTTATAATCTCAATCAGGGTTTGGAACGCTTTTTGAATGCATTAGTAAGTTTCTTGACTGTTTTTGAATATTTATCAGTAATTTTTACTCCTTTAATTATTCACCCCAAATATTCCTCAAATTTTTTTAATATATTTTCTTCAGAGTCTCATTTCTTTTATCTGGGGATAAATTCGCATAATTTAGTAATTGCTGCTTTAGGGCTTAATCTTTTGAATCTCTCAGACCAATCTTAACATTTATTAGTTAAGATCTTTCTGGACTATTAGTTAATAAATTAAATCTTTAGTCTTGATTGAATTTTTAAATAGTTGAATGAGCTACCTCATTGTGCTAAGTTTAAAATTTGATTTTGGCTTCTTTATACTTTCCATTATTGTCAATAAAAGTTTTTTAATTTGAATTATTCGTAGCCATTCTGTTTAGGTGACTATTTTAGCTTAAAATAGTTTGCATGGTAATTTATGGCCTTAATTCGTAAAAATTTGAAAACTGCTCTGTTTAAACATCAAAACTTGAGCCTTTATTAGGAGAATCAATTTCTTTTAGGGATCCTTTCAAATCATCACTTCGCTCAGTTTATAAGGTGGAGTTGTTTTTAATTTTTTAATCATTCGGTTTTGATTCTAGGGTTTAATTCAGTGACTAAGGTTTTGAGAAGTATTTTTTGCCAATTGGAGGAATCATGTTGATATTTCTGGATAACTGCTTTTAAATCTCGTTTTTAATGTTAATTTTAGTTAATTCTCTTAATCCCTCGCATGACTGATTAAGTCTTATCAAACATAATTTAGGTTTTTTATTGCTCTCATTTTCCATTCTTTTTGAAGATTTCTCGCTATGTTGAAAAATGACTGAGGATAAAGATTGATTATGAGTATGACTTCCAACTAATGAAGCATTTCGAGATTTAGCAATGAATCCTTGCACCTTAATATCCAGATCAGCAACCATTTTAGCTGATATCTCTCTGCTATCATCATTAATTGGTGGAGTTTATTTTTCAGGACTACTTTTCCTGATCAAAGCACGAACATTTATATTTTTCCCAAGCATTGAACCTCTCAATTCTATTTTCTTTTTAGCTGCAGGTGTCAGCAAATCGCTCTTAGCCTCAGCTATAAAAGCATTAAGATTTCAAAATATTTATACTAGCTCGTTTTCTCATTATTGGTGGTAGCATACTCACTCTCCGCTTTAACTTATCCTAAAGCTCTTTATTAATTATCTCTTTTTGCTGCTATTGTTCAATGTATAACTCACGCCTTCAATCCTTCTCTTCTTGCTTTTTAAATTCTTCAAAAATTGAATTAATTTTGTAAATGCGTGGAACATTAAGCTGAGGAGGTGGCTTTGGTAAATATTTGTACTTTCCTCTTCCTTATAGAAAATACTTCTTAACAAAACTGTACACACTGTAGCAGTTAAAACAAACTATTTATTCCTAGTATATATATTAATATGTCTAGTTTTTACTTTGTATTATGAAGTTTATTCTTTGCCTGATGTCTCAAATATTGTCTTATTCAGCTCTGATTCTCTTTGATCTTCTTAAATATTTCTAATCTTCCGATCTAGATCAATGATCTTTCTAACTATTAGATACTGATGATTTTAAGGAAGCTGATTATCAAAGATCTTTGAAAATTCATTAGTCGATTTCTATTTGTTAAAGGGTTGCATTATGATTCTATTTACATTGTCCTTACAATGAATCCTAAAAAGATAGATGAAATCCTTATGTTCTTTTGGTAGCTAATTTACAAAATAATCATCCTCTAATTAGCAATAATCTCCTTCGCATAAATCATGCTTCATGATTTTATTTTCTTCGATGTAGTTTATTACCTTATCTGAACTTTATCTACTCAAATTTAATTAAGTTTCAGCAAGAGCACTAGTTTCGACATATTTAATTTGGACAAGATAAAATTACTAATCATTTTCATCTTAAATAAAGTCCATAGAGAGTAGATTGAGCTCAAGTCTTTGTTTTTTTAGTAATCTACTTATTGCCTTAGCTAGAGTCATTACTTGTCTATTAACATCACCTAATTACAACCCGGACTATGGAAATGCATTATTTTCATTTATGTCATAATCACTAGTACAAAACTATTTATTAACTCTAAATTTAACATCTAACTCCTGTTACATTACATTCATGAATTAGTAAATATCATCTTTAACAAGTAATGGTTCTTAGTTAGGATCCTCCTAAGAGTAAGTAAATTTTTAATTCAAAAAGAGATCTATGGCCTTTCTGTCTGTTCCACTCTACTGATTCTACTCCAAAACAAATCTCTTGATAAATTTCATTGATCTTCCATTTTTAATCATTTCTTAGATTCGCTTCACATTCATACCCTAATCCTTATCTTTAAGATCCTCTCCATCATATCTGTGATTGCTACCAATGCGATAATATTGTAATTTAGCATTCTTCAAACTAACTCCTTTTTCTTTAGTTAAATTTACACGAATGACATTGCAGCCTAGACCCTTTGAGACTATGTAGCGTTACATTATAAATGTGCTTTTACCAAGCTCACTCTATTATTTATCAAGACAAGAACCAAGGAAAAACTAGAGGCTAACATCATTTTCAAATACATCTGTGATTTTAGCAATCATTATAGGAAAGAGGCAACCTGAAATGGATACTTTTTATTTTTGCATTTTTTAGGTTGTTTAATATAGCTACTCTACTAAAATTCTAGAATCAAGCTATGGATTGATTTTACGTTTCTCAACAATTCCAAAAGCATTTGTTCTCATAAAGTAGCATTCTCCGTCAAGGTAATAAAAGGTCTCTGGAACATTTATATTCAAATTCTACTTTTCTATTATCTCATGAACAGTATGCCAGGTGAAATTTAATATTCCAATTGGTAGAAGTGGTGCCTTAATGCGTTTTTTAAAGCACATTTATTCGAAAATCTTCTGCGATCTTTTCTTGAATATAGACTCCAAAATGGTCTGCTTCTTATCTTCAATGCCTGACTAATCATTTTTATTGATTACTCCGATAGACCTCTCTTTTTCCATCTTGAAAGACTCATGCTTTCTGAGTTCGTCTAATTTCTAATCTATCAACAGAGTCACATTTACGTTATTCATATCGATTTTCTTTAAAAGCGATGCTCTTCTTCCAACGCTTCTAATAATTCTTTAGATTATGGGGTTAATCTTTATTTCCCTTCAATCCTTTTCTTCATTGACCAAGTCATTGATATCCTCCAAATCAGGTCTTTCTTTTATTTTCTGCAGCAAAAATTGCATCTTATTATTTTACAACGAACTAATAATAATTATTCAAGTATTTCCAAAAATTATTTTATTCTGTTTTGAATTATTTTATTATACGGTCGGGGTTTTGGGGTTTTGGGG